TTCAAAAAGTTTGAAGTTAGCAAGAAAATTAATTCACTTACATATATAGTTTTTTTCTACACTTATTACGCAACCAGTCCTTTCCGTTTTTTCCCTTTTTTGTACTGTACGCTTCTTTAATAGACGTCTGCAACATTACACCACCTATTGCGCATGTATAAACACACATATATATACGCATGCTTGTACAATATTTTTGAAAATGCTTTTTTTGTGAGATGAAAATCTCTTCAACGTAACTAACTGTCTCAATCACATGGGGGGTTAGTGTGAGGATTTGTTTTGATGTCCACTAATGAACCCAAATGACTGACCCCAAGGATGATTGTCAGCATTCCTCCCCGTGTTGAAATTGCACAACAATATACAGACGCGAAGTGATGAAACAATCCGAATCGCCAACTTCGTATATCCCATCGGTTTTACAAAGTGAAAAGAAAAAAGAATTGCGTGACTTGTTGGTCTAAATTCTTGGGATCTAAAAAAAACACTCGGTAACAGGTTCGAACACCGGTCCTCTCCTACCGAGGTTTGTTGAGGGGGGCGGGGAATGAAATGACACCAGAAGTATTTAAGTACGGGGGAGACAGTTTACTGTCTGCATTAATTGAAGTACTAGGCAGCGTCTGGGAATCTGAGGAAGTCCCGTCGGGTTGGTATAAGTCACTGGTTATCCCCATATACAAGAAGGGAGACAAGTCTCCTGTGAAAATCACAGAGGGATTAGCTTAACTAATATAGTAAGTATCTAAAGTCCAAGACTCAATAATATTGCGTAGACTAAGTGGTGCTCGGGAGGCACAAACACGAGAGAACCAGGCAGGCTTTAGACCAGGGAGAGGGTGTATTGATCATATCTTCACCCTTCGGCAGATTCTAGAACATAGGCATTCTTACCAGCGTCCAACAATCGTTATATTCCTTGACCTTAAGTCCCCATTCGATTCTAGAGGTACTCTGTCGATGCTTGACTGTAAAAAGAATGCCGAGAAAATACATTGCACTGATCAAAGTACTCTACTCGAACTCATGCAGCCAGACAGGTGAGAGTTTACGACGAGTTGTCATCTGAACTGGTGACGACTAGTGGTGTCCGTCAAGGATGCCCAATATCCCCATTTCTATTCAATTTCATCATAGATGTGTGTGTGTCAATGGACTTAACCCTAACTCACTTCAGCGATTCAGGGATTGACTTGCTACCAGGGAATAATCTCGTTGACTTAGAATATGCAGATGATATAGTCCTTCTAAGCGAGGACGCTGACAAAATGCAGAGTCTTCTGAACGCCTCGAGCTGAAATCTACGAATGTTTGGCATGCAATTCGCTCCAGCCAAATGTAAGCTGTTGTTACAGGACTGGACTACACCGACTCCTAGATTAGAAATAGGAAGTGAAGTGGTAGAGCACGTTGACCGCTTCACTTATTTGAGAAGTACCATCAGCCAGTGCCAACAGGTTGATCTCTGACGAAATCTCAGCACGGATACACAGGGCTAGTTTCGCATATGCCAGTTTACGCCGACTCTGGCGTAGACGTGATATCCGACTTTCGACCAAAGGGCGGGTGTACTGCTCATCAGTCCAGTCTATCCTCCTTTATGGCTAGTTGTGAGACCTAGCCAATGAGAGTAGAAGACATGAAATATTAGCTAGCTGTCTTCGATCATAGGTGCCTACGTTCTATCTCCCGTGTGAAGTGGTATAATAAAGTGAGCAATATTGAAGTTAGGCGTCAGTCGAGTGCTAGGTAAGCAGCGGAGGGGAAATCAATCGAGGAGGCTGTGAAGCTACATAGACTGAGATGGTTAGGTCATGTGTTACGCACGCATACCTAGTCATCGCCTTCCTCAACAATATGCAATGTTAGCTGATATAGGGTCAGGCTGGAAAAGAGCTATCGGTGGTCAAACCAAAACATGGCACCAGTCAATGAAATCCACAACAGTTAGTTTAAGCCACATAGGAAGGTGTAGACTTCCTGGTTGGGGTCATCGGGATGGTAAAAACCAATGGTTGGAAACAATTGGTGACATGGCTCAAAACCATTCTCAATGGCGTGGACGCATCTACTCCTTTTGATTTCCAATGAAACTATATTGTTCTTCATTATTACTATTCCTTTGTCTCACATCTCTGTTTACTGTCTCTATTATGCATTTCTTCTAGCTTCTTCTCTTGCTTTGTGTTCTACATGGAGTGTGGCGACTTGAACTGCCGCACATATGTGCAAAGTTCTATGTCGAAAACAGATAGACAGAGGGGGGAGAAGGGACTAGGTAGGGTAAATAACCTGCACACGCGCATACACAATGCGTGTGACTTCTTATCGACTGCATGGAAATGTAGGTGGTTATTGATTAACACACATAAATATAAATATAAGGTAGAATACTCGCCAGCTATGCATGTAGTCCAGATTCGATTCTCGGTTGAAACACTTCCGACACCTCAGTTAGCCGGAAAAGAGACAACAACACTACTTAGGGCTTGAGGTCCTAAGTTCCTCTTAGAAGATAAAAGAATGGGAAGACATCAGGGTCTGAAAACATACATCTGCCATGATTATGACGCAGTCAGTGTCTATAGAACAACCCAGTCACCTCGTAGAGACTGTGTTCCGTTACTTGAGATTTTATGATACTGGTTTGTTGCCCAGGCTTAAGTATTTAGGGATGCATCTAAACAAGACATTAATCTCTGGCTAGTCGAATTGAATTTCGAAGTGAAGTGTACTGTGATTCTTCGTTACTTAGCTTACTTACAAGACTACAGAACTCACCAATATATATTCAGGCTTACAGTACTATGCCGGTTACTGTCTGAAAACTGTTTTGGTTAGCTATGGTGTTGACAACATGTCGGTTTAATGTCCAGATTGTGGAGGATTCAATTATGCCACAAACCAGGCATGAGATCGTGAAGACGAGAAGACATTGGGCCGAAAAGAAGACTCTAGAAGATCTGGATTTCGTGAAAGATTTGTGTCTTATGTCCCACGTACACACACACACACACACTCGAAGACTTACAGGTGAATATCAACAAATTGACAGAAGAAACAGCAAAGGTGACACTTCAAGTGAACATAGAGAAAGCAGAGGTGGTGAAGATATCCATTGACCACCACCACCACCAACAACAACAACAACAACAAGCACCAGTCACTATCAAAGAGAGAAATTCGAAACAGGTAGATTCCTTCACTCATCCAAGCAGTATCATTTCAACCACAAGCAGAGGACACGGATGACGATACCAACGCCAGTATCAGAAAGGCAAGACAGATCTTCACTATTCTAAAATCAGTTTGAAAATCTGATGCACTCAACAAAAAGAATGAAATCCAAATTTACAACATTATTGTCAAGTCAGTAAATTTTTCTGTATGCGTCACAAACTTGGCGCGTGCGCATCACCAAGACCATTTCTAACAGGCCGCTACAGACTTTTATCAACAACTGCTGCCATCGTTATCTCCATACAAAAGATCAGATGGCTAGTTAGAAGGAATTAACAACAAGAAATTCTGGGAGTTAAACGACCAAGACCCTTCTATCCATAAAATATTGGGATGGATCGGAGACAAGCTGAGGAGACCACTCGGTGACATCTCGTCGAAGGCCCTTGAGTGGGAGTGGCTTTCAAGAATGGCATGGAGACGATGAAAGCTTATGGTGGGGGGGGGGGAGAATCGTGAGACCAGTTGAAAAGGAATGCAGAGAATACAGTGGAATGGAGTTGTGCTTTTAAAGCTATATGTTCCCCTAGGAATAACAATCGTAAGAAGAACCTGAGGAGAATTTACTAAAAAAGAATATTATTCATTCATTTGGTAGTATAGGGACTGTCAAAGCGGCGAGTGGTTTTAGTTGACAAAATACACAATTTCATCAATCAACTCATTCTTGTAGCACACACACACACACTTATCACAACTGTATACTTTAGATACCGATTTCATAAGGTTTCGCCGCCGAAATAGAAACCATTGCAAAATTAATGTATGCAACACACTGAGACCAATGACCTATACAATTATTTCCGCTACTGTTCTAAATTTTCTATGGTGATCAGGATGTCTCTAACGAAGGGATGCACCCCCTCCCCCACCACCAAAAAAAATCATTTCCAACTAACTGATGCAGACTTTTATCAAACAACAGCTGTCATCACTCTCGATGAATGTACTGAATGAAGATTAGATAGCCGGCCAGAAAGAAAAGTCAACAAGGAACTCTGACAGACAATGAACTAATCAACAATCAATTGTCCATACACATGTGCAGAAGAAAATGGATGGAGGTGGATTCAACATATGCTGAAGAGACCCACCCCTCCCAAAATAACGCGTTATACACCAGTAAGCCTTTCATCAATAGAACTCAGATACCGCAGTAACGAGTTAGGAGTCATCGAATGCGGCATGAGGAAGGTCATATGATGATGAGGAGGAGGGGGAGGAGGAAACGAAAGCAGGTCCATAGTCATGCAGCCAAACAGAACTGACAACAGACAACTTAAATGGTACCACTGAAGCTCTGCCTTCAGCTCAGCTTAGCTCAGCTCAGAACACAAAGAACAAATAATCATGATGAAAGGAACAATACTGGTTTATAAGGGCAAAGTGTACATCTTTAAAATACAAACTAATATTACAAGGAATAAATGTACAGAGATGTTTGTATTTCTTAAATAGTTAACAGAATTGATTATCTCAAAGAAATAGAAAGAATACTTATTCCACACAGTCCACACACGCCATGCTCCATTGCAATAAGGCAGTATATATATATATATATATATATCATGTTTGACTAATCCGCCGATAAATAAAAGGATAATTTTTTGTTGTCAAAATAAGAATTACTAACTGATAAACTCACCGACTGACAGTGACAATGACATTACAAAAAGAAAAGAAGAGGGAAGAAAAGATGTATCTGTGCCTCCTGCACCCTCCCCACCCAACATCAATAATAAGAAGAGGAACAAAAAGCGATGTCTGGGAGGGGTGGTGATGGTGATGATGATGATGGTAGAAAAAGAATATCTCGAAACGAAGGTGTACAAAAATAAGGTGTAAAAGTAAACACACTTTTTTTAGTTAATGAATTTGCACATATTCTATTTTTTTTTAATTTTTGCACGTAATAAAAGCAAAGCAGTAGAAGTAGTGAGTGACTGCCTGACTAGTGGTTTCAGCAGCAGCAGCAAGGAAGAAGAACTTTTGCACAGAAAGTTGTTGTAGCACAGTCAGTGTTCAAGGGTTGCACCACCACCATACTCCATATGGGCACAAAAATTGAAGACAAAAGCGAAAGAGAGAGAACAAAAAGAGAGAGATTCGAAAGAACAAATACTAAGCTGGAGAAATGTGACAGAGAAAGAATGGTAAGTGGTAGGACTTAACAACACAGATATAGGGCAGATCAGAAAGAGTGACAATGATTTCGAGTCATATTACACAGCCAGTGGATCTTAGAATCCGCCGACGACCTCACCAAGGCAGTCCAACACCTCCTCCTCCTCCCTTATATGGTTAACTCAAACTAACTGTCAAGGATTTCATCGATTAATGCCAAGTTCTTGTTTGAAGTAGAAGTACAGTATGTGGGCAGACAATTCACGCTATATAAGCAAAGATCTTGTGTACATATTTAGAGATTCATAAAAATGCAGGGATAATGAAAAGGAAGTAGAAGAAGAAGAAGACGGGGAAGAAGGAAATAGATTACACATAAAGATATTGATTGTTTCATAAACGGGGATTAATTGGTGAAGGTAGTTTTACTTACAATTATTATTATTGGTCGTGATAATAATGCTAATGCTAATGATAATACCGATAAGAAGAGTAATCGAAGATTACAAATCTGAATGAAATTACCTGTTATCACCACCGCTTTTCTGTGGTGTGATGTCTGTCACTGATGATGATGTCGATATAGTCGACGCTGTATCATCACATTCAGCAAGTAATCTTTGCATATACAATGGTTTATCTTGATAGATTGTAAAACTTTCCGGTTTTCTTATAATGTATGTCTGTGGTGAATGATTCCCCGATTCTATTTGATGATTAAATTGATTATTATTATTATTATGATTATAATGATGATTATTCTTACCACTTATATTACTACTGCTAGTATCAACAGCATCTCCAAAACTATCATCTGGAACTACAATACCACCGGTTGCACCAATACAAGTAGCCCTTTCTGGTCTTAGCAACAGTTCTGTTAATTGAGCAATATCAGCATCCAGTTTTTCTTTAGGCCATTCACCGAAATGTGCAAAAAGTTCTTGTCTGACTTTTGCTGCAGCACCAGATCTTCCATAGTCCCTTAATTGTTCCTAGATAGGTAGATAAATAGATCGATGAATACATATAAAAGAAGAAAAAAACAGAAAGTGAGGTGCGTATGTTGGTGGGTGTGTCTGAAAGATTAGTCTAAGTGAGATAACTTTAATTTGACAAAAACTAATCTCAACTATTAAAGTGTTCGTTTGTAGGGATTTTATTGGTTACAGGATTTCATCAGGAGCTGACATTAGTTAGAGAACCCTTGGAAAACCTGGGAGTACTGGATAGTTGTTTCGTCAGCCTAGTTCGGGACTTTTCAGCAGTACGCACCTACCGGGGTTCGTGAATTGGCAGAAGTTAGAATTCATGGGCCATTGGATCGGGTCCCAATGGCTTAATGTAATGGTATTCGAGCTAGCCTGGTAACCAGAAGCTCCTGGGTTTGAACCCCGGTGGGTACGTAGTGATGAAGAGTCCCGAAATAGGCCGACGAAACAGCTGTCCAATACTTTCAAGTTTTCCAATGGTTCTCTAACCGATGTCAGCTCATGATGAAATCCTATAACTAATCTCAACTATACAGTCATCCTTATCTCCCAGAGTGAAATAGATGGAGCAAATTTCTGGCCCAAGAAAGCAGTCTTAACGCGCCCACCGGGGCGCCCACGTGGCTACACCATTCACATACACCATATCTCTCGACCGTATCACACCGGGACTTTTGTCTACTTAATCTCCTTACCCTGCACCAGTCCGATTTGCCTTACTTGACCTGGACAACCTCCACTCCGGCAGGCTATCCATATATCAGTGCCGTGCTCAGTGTCATCAATGCTGTCAGAGTCCAGAACTCCCTGTCCGACAAAACTTTGCACTCTAGCCTCCAAGTAGCTAGATTTACAGACGTACACTACCACACCCAACCAGGAGGACAGCAAGTAGGATTTGAAATTCTTGCGGCACAATAAGTAGAATGTTATGTTTATTTCAAACATGTCTAAATATTTTAGATCCACTAAAATTCAATGTTATACTGATTTCGCCACTCAGAAGATTAAATTACCTTATTGAAATTGAAATTTAGGCTTTCGTGAAGTTTTGGTTCACTTCGAATACAGGGCTTGTCATGAGCAGACATCGTTCAGTAGATCATTGAAAACTGGAAAAGAAACACGCTAGACAGCTACTTTATTCCAGTTTGGGAATCTACAGGAGTGTGTATCACTCATGACTCTCCGAAAGCGATCCAAAATCCCTACAAAATCTAGATGTTCTGAAATTCTACTGCGAAGTGCTGACCGGTGGTGTGTATCATGTCAAGGGTAAAGCGATCCCTCATCTATCGATGGGAATTGTTTGACAGTAGCGCTACATGGCGAATCAACTAATAACAATGGAGGCTTGTTAAAATTGTGCTTAGAAGGTGACTGATTCTTAACCAATCCCAATTTTAGACACTAAGAAAGAAATACATTTAAAAAAAGCGGCCAATAACAACAACAACATTAAAACATTAATTGGTGGATAGTGACTAGGAGTGGAATCCAGGACTTGTAAACTGGATGTGCCTGCATTCTGCAGTGAGTCATGATGTTCCCACTAAAGCTCGAACCCTGCACCCATAGTTTCAAACGATAAAGCGTTATCCACTAGACCACTTCGGCCACGACAGCCACACCTCTTGTGCAACAGGTCATATTATTATTTAATTCAATTTTAGATAACGCTTTGGCGTTTGAAACTATGGGCACTGGGTTCTAGCCTCGGTGGTGGGAACATCATGACTCAGTGTGGAATGCAGGCACATTCAGCTGACGAGTCCCAAACAGGGTGAAATGCGTGTTATCCTGAACTCCACTGCTAGTCATCACCCACCAATTAACTTCTAGTTAACATGCCCAGACATCGTCAAAGCATCTGAACAAGAAGCCGACAGACATGTCAACCTGAGACCGAGTACTTCGGTCCAATCAATCGACGGGAAAACCTAAAATTCAATGAAACACTAAGACAGAAATAGATGTCAGTAACTGTTAGAAAATGCATGTGTAGGATTATTTCTCCACTAAGAATCTATGCTTGAATATTTTGATTCAATCACGCACAAGTTTATACCTTGATAAACACAAAAATTCCAAAATAGCAGACTTCTACTATTCTACACTGAAAAAAAACAAAGGTATCAAGTCTACAGTTAAGAACAGAAAAATAAATCAAACAGGTCATACAACACAGATGTGTGTGTGTGTTGTAGAACCAGCTATTCGTAATATAATTGGACCAACTGTGATATAGGTCATTCTGAAATGATGGATTCCCAGGAATATATACGCATGACGCAACTCAAGTACAAGCTGTCACCGAACTGACTGACAGTAAACAGATACAAGCACAGAGGGACAGAAATTGAAAATTCGTCATAATATTTTACTATCTGTTCTTGGCCAGTACCAGTATTTATTATTATTCCCTTGCGTTCCGAGTGGAACATAGGGATGGCTTCAACAACACACCTCCACTCTATTCTATTTTCTGACATTCTCTTCATCTGGGTCCACGATTGACCATAATCTCACATTTCTTCCTCACACAATCTCCTCCATGTCACCCTCACACTGACGACCCAATCGTCGCTCACCCATTTGGATTTCACTCGAGCACTGGCCTGCACTGCGCGCGATGTCATTCGGCGGCCTCCTCAGTGGCGTGTGCCCGATCCATCCATCTCCATTTTCTCCTACATATTTGTTGAGCGATTAGCTCTTGGTTGGTTTGTTCCCATAGTGTTACTTGCTGCTTATTCTTCCTGGCCATTTGATATTCAGAATGGAGCCAGTGAAGGTGACAGCTGTTGATGAAAGTCTGTCACCTGTTGAAAATCTTTTTCGTGACACGCCAAGTTTCTGACTCGTATAAAAGCACTGACCGAATTTGACATTGGTGTTGAAAATGTGAATCTCATTCCTCATGCTGAGTGCGGAAGACTTACAAACTGGTTTCAGGTTGATGAGGGTGTATCTTGCCTTTCCGATTCTCACTCTGATATCTTCAGACGTTTCGCCTGTAGTTGACTCGATATTTTCTAGGTAAGTGAAGGAGGTAATCTCCCCTGTTGATGATGATTTGTGCTGGTTGTTGTTGCTGCTGTTGTTTGTTTATCTTCATCACTTACTTTTTTTACTTTACTTCGGCTATCTCCTACGGGAGGATGAGCCGGCTTCATGAACGAGTTCATGAAGTTTCCTGGGAATTCGGTACGAGTGATGTCCCCAGCATCGCTCGGCCTTTTGTTTGAGAGTGCAGCTCTAGCCTTTACACAACCAAGTGTGGCCTACAAGGCAGTAGGAGTGGAGTAGGGAGTCCACTATCCATTGGCAGCCGGTGACCGGAGTTCGGTTCATACGCCTTTTTGAATGGGGCCAGACATCCAGGACATCCAACAAGCCCTTTGTCCATACGTCTGCCGGTGAGCTCCGGTGAGCTTCATACGCCAGTCGTTGAAGGTTTGGAATCAGGGTTTAGCCATCTCCCCTAGACTGTCATCCAATGGACAGTCAACCCGGTGGAGAGCGCCGGGCATCCGCTTTTGCCCTCTCGCTTTAGTGAGAAACACCTCCACCACGTGAAGGCAGTGAGTAGGACTTCCTCAGGAGAGGCTATGTAAGACGCACGGTCATATGGGAGCATTTCAAGAGGTGTGCGGAGGGGTGGCCAACCCGCAGAGCAAGACACCCACCCCCGACCATCCTGAGGCTTTGGAGGCTTATCTTCATCACCTCCATCTTCTCCATGTTCACCTGGAATCCTGTCTTCGCTGCTCACGTCTTCAGTTGGTTTGTTGATTTTCGCTTGCAAGTCTTCAAGTTTGTGTGACATTAGACATATATCATCCACGCGCGAAGTCCAGATCTTTTTAGAGTCTTCTTGTCGATAGTCCAGCGTATTCCTTACTTTTTTATTTTTGGTTACAGCTTGATTCTACACCGTATTTTTTGGTACAGGTATGGAATTTTCAGCATGTGATATCGGTAGCCCAAAGTTTGCAGGCCGACCATACATATCAGGCGTGCATCGGCAGATGATCGAACCCCAGACCATGTGCATGGACGGCGAGCGTCCTAACCGCTATGCCACCAACGCATAATCCAGTTCACCACAATTAAAAATATCATCGGTGATAATATACAGTCTTGCCTTACCCATGTATGTACTTCGAACGCCTAGCGCTAAGTTTTCCGTTGTGGATCCCTTGACACATGACATTGTCGTCATATGGCTGTTGAAGGCCAATACCTTTAACTTTACAAAATGGAGAAACCGAATAATCCGAGGGATACACTATAACCTATATCACCAACAATTACAATTGCAGAGGCTTGGTAAAGTGTGTGTAGTACACATTTGGATAATGATTATATGGGGGGATTACAGCATGGCTAAATGGAAGGGTTATCCTAGTGCAGTACAATCATCAAGTTAGTAGAATTTATAACCTTTTTGTTGTAAAGCATTACTTACACACACACACGTACACCATCGATGAGTGGGGAAGAACAGAACAATAGGTGAAATGTGAAAATATCAACTGTCTTCAGTGTGCTGAACATTTTTAAACTAGTGAGATTAAACTGATATGATATGAACAAGTTTGAGTCTTTCTTATTTCAATCGATGTATAGATTATTATATGTAAGGAGTAACAGCAAAACAGTTTGAGGTATTTTATCAACAAATAAAACTTACCAAAAATCCACTATTCGGACAAGCACATGGTCTTGCAGCGATAACTGCTTTAACCAATTTCGGCAAGGGCATATTTGTTATAGTCATCAGATAGGCGATAGTTATTGTTACACTACGCGATACACCACAGGCACTTATGTGAGAAAAAGAAAAATAAACGAGTTGGTTATTAATTTTTTTTTATAGATTATAATCAATTGCAAAAACATGCGAAAATATTTACATTCAACTGTTTCGAAGTATTATTATTATATCCTTTAATTCCTAGAGGAACATAGGGCTTCAGCTACGCGTCTCCATTGCCTTCAGTTTTCTGCCAACTTTTTCACCCCACTCCAAGTCTGCCGACACGCTTTCATCTCCTCTTCACATGACCTCCTCCAAGTCACCCTTGCACTGACGACCAACTCGCCGCTTCCCTTTCCGCCGGGTTTCAATCGAGCAATGGCTTGTCTAGTGATGTCACTTGATGGTTTCCTCAGTGTATGGCCAATCCATCTCCATTTCTTCCTGCTTATTTGTTACACGATCGGTTCCTGCTGGGATGGTTCGCTCCCAGAGATCCCTGTTGCTGATCTTTTCTGGCCATCTGATCTTGAGTATTGAGCGAAGACAGCTGTTAATGAAGGTCTGAAGTTTGTTTGAGATGCATACCACGAAATCTATGAAATAGGGAACGAATTATTTACCCTTGAATTATTGAGACACATATATCTACCATATATAGGTTTACGGACAAACGGCTTCATCATTGTTAGCAAAATGCCTATCGAAAATGATTAGTACATTTCAAATAATACTGTATTATACGAGTTGATCACGGATCGATATCAGTTAGAGAACCATTGAAAACCAGGAAGTACTGGACATGTGTTTAGCCCTAGTTTGGGAAACCATCGGCAGTACGCACACGCCGCCAGGGTTCGAACCCAGGACCTTCCGGTTACAAGGTAACTCGTAAAAGCAAAACTAATCTCCTTACAAACCAACCATAGAAAATTAATCTGATGCTCGGTAGTGACCTGCTACAGGATGGAGTTTTCTGGAGTTCTGTGAGAAGTCGTGACCAGTGAGGTCTAATTATATGTCACGTGTGTGGATGGATGTCCCACCGACGACAATGGTTAGGGTAGCGCTAAATCATTAATTGGTACAAGTTAGAATTTGTGAGCCATTGAATCGGGTCCCAGTGACTGAATGGTATACGTGCTTGCCTTGTAAACAGGTCTTGGTTTCAAACCCTAAAGGTGGGTGCGTACTGCCGATGATTCTCAAACTAGGACTAAACAGCTGTCCAGTACTCCCTGGTTTTCAATGTTCCTCTGACTGATATCGATTCGTGGTCACACTCGTAAAAACAAATTTAATCCTTACAAACCAACTCTTGAAAATCCTTTAAGATGACGGTTTCAGCGACCTCAATCGGAAAACAACCAATACTTTCAAGTGTTGGTTTGTGGGTATTTGACTAGTTACAGGATTTCATCATGAGGTGACATCGTTTACAGAACCACTGGAAAGCTTGGAAGTACTGTACACACCCACCGCCCAAGTTCGAACCCAGGACCTTCCGATTACAAGGCAAGCTCGTAAATCATTAAACCACTGGAACCGAATTCAGTGGCCAATGAATTCCAACTACCGCCAGTTCACGACATAGCGCGACCACTAGCCAATATCGTCGCTGGTGAGTATCTGTCCTCACGCCTGACCTGCTGTACTCCACTGGTCACGACTGATAGAGTCTCGAACTAGGCCGATGAAAAAGCTGTCCAGTACTCCCAGGCTTCCTAGCTAGCTAGTTCTTCCTGAAATACGGATTTAGTTTCCTGATCGAGCTGGGGACGTGATGGTTTTACCGCCAGCTGTTTTCTACGTCCGTTCAGTCGTAAGCACACCCGAGCGCGGACCAGTGCATGGTCGGTATCTACGCACGTGTTCCAGAAGGAGCGACAATCTCCTACCGACCCACGCCAACGATAGCTTATTGCTATGTGGTCTATTTGTGTCCAGCGTTGGTTTGATGAAGGGGGTCTCCAAGTCAAACAGTGTCTCTCCTTGTGTTTGAAGTTAGTGCTTGCAAGAAACAAATGATTATCAGAACAGAACTGTAGGAGACGGTCACCGTTGTCGGTTCGCTGGCACGGAACTCCATAGGTGCCACCGACATCCTTCTCAGAATGATACAATTTCCCTACTTGAGCGTTAAAGTCACCAGCTAGAACGACTATGTCTGAGCGTTTAGCCTTTCCCACCAAACTAGACAGCTTTTGGTAGAACTCATCCTTCGTTTCATCTGAACTGCAGTCAGTGGGGGCGTAGGCGGAGATTACGAAAAGGCATCGGCGAGTAGACAGTGTAGTTCATCTTTTTGGCAACCTGCTCAACACAACTGAGCTACTTAAATTTCATCTGGCATAATGCATCCACTTTCCGCTGAGTTTTGTTTTTTGTTCTAATCTTCCAGTTAAGTTTGTCTGGATAGCAATATCAACTTATATAATAACATTGCACCGATGTGCAGCAGTTCGAGTCGCCACACTTCAACTCAGCATACACAGACAGAGAATACAGTAAAAAGAAACGGAAAATAGAGACAGTAAACACAGATATGAGGCAGAAAGAATAGTAATATCGAAGATCAATATAGTTTTATTGGGTATAATAAGTCACAAGAAGTGAATGCATCTGCGCTAACCATTGACAACGATTTTCAGCCATATCACTAATTGTCTCCGGCCATTAGTTTTTACCGTCCTGAGGATCTCAAACAGTCAGGAGGTCTACATCTTCCTATGTGGATTTCATTGACTGATGAAGCACCACTGGTTAGCTCTTTTTCAATATGACTCTATGTCAGCTGACTAACATTGCCCATTGTCCAGGAAGGTAATGGTTAGGCATTCATGCATAACACATGTCCTAACCACCTCAGTCAATGTATATTCACAGCCTCGTCTATGGATTTCCGCTTTTTACCTAGCATTCGACGCCTGACCTCAGTATTGCTTACCCTACTATACCACTTCACAAGGGAGATAGAACGCAGGCACCTATGATCAAAGACAGATAGCCAGGCTTTTCATTTCTTCTAATCTCAGTGGCCAGGTCTCACAGCCATAAAGCAGGATGGAGAGGACTTCTGAGCAGTACACCCATCCTTTGGCCGATAGCCAGACGGATATCACGTCTACGCCAGAAAGAGAAAAATGAAAGAAAAATATCCTTTAGAATTGAGTCATCACATGATATACTACTGACAAATATTTACTTGAAGACTCCATACAGTGGGTGAATATTTTTAAAGAAATTTGCTGTTGTATTTCAGCATAATTGCTAGAATAAAACTGATATGATTAGATTTTAAAGATTAGTTAATTAACTTGTAGTATCATCATCAACTGGAGAAAATGTGCAATTCAGAAGTGAAGCTTTTGTCTGTCTTATTTGTCTAGACACTCGATTTGCAACCACACTGAGTATGGCCAACTGTTACAATATAGGTGTAGCTTATTGGTAAACGCACGAATATGACAATTGTTCAGTATCACGGTATCGCAAAATTTGGAAGAAATTGTAAACACTTGTAATAAATATAAGATATGGAGCAAGTGTTCATTAGTCTTAACTGTCAAACATCATATTAGCACACCACACAGGTCAGTAGTGGAAATGAATACAGGCAATTCATAAAACAAATAAAACGCAGATAGAAATAAAGTATTAGAGATATGAAGTAGGGAGATTATCAAATCCCTACAAACCGATACTTGAACATCAATGAGATAGTCACTAGCGACTGGCTGTATTCAAGTAGGTAGTTACCTGAAGTTCTAGTGAGAAGTCATGACCAGTGGGGTACGGCAGGTCAGGCGTGAGGACAAATACTCTCCGAAGACACTGTCTAGTGATCGCACTAAGTTGTGAGTTGGCAGAAGTTGGAATTCATGGGTTGGCCATTACATCGGATCCCAGTGGCTAAATGGTCTACGAGCTAGCTCGCCTTGTAACCAGAAGGTCCTGGGTTTCCAAACGTGACGACGGGTGCGCTTTTCTGGAGAGACCCAAAATAGGGTGAAACAGTTGTCCAGTACTTCCAAGTTTCCTAATGGCTCTCTAACCGATGTCAGCTCATGATAAAATCCTGTAACCAATAATCAGTATTCAGTTGTGAATGCATTTGTGTAGACAAATTAATCCTATGCCATATCTCTCAGTTGTTGACTGACTACCTACTTCTTATCCCTCTCAGCAAAAATAAAATAACAGAAGTCTTACTCATAACCCTACAATATTCCGATATGGACATCTTAAATTTGTTTCAACTAGCATAAATTCTCTTTCAACTGTCAGAATGTTAGAGTTAGTGGTGAGTGGGTTCCAATCATTTCAACCGAGATAAAGAACTGAAACTTTATCGACTAATCTATCTCTTTACTTATTACTTGACTTATAATTTATCAGCTACTTATGTAACGGTCCCATCACATGTAAGTAATGCTGAAAAATGACAGCATCGATGTACCTAAAACCTCCGCAGGCTTTCGACTTCAAGCATCGAACAATACAATTAATTTACGACATTAAGAGTAGTAGTCTAGGTTGACAGGAATTAGCCCAGCCTTCTGGTCAAAATCTTACCAACCGCCGTGAACTACAGATAGACATATACTCAGGTAACATTTTACTTTTGAGGTAAGTAACATCCCAAGTATTTACGTATTGTTGTTTAAAGCAAAGATTACACATCACGTCTTTATTTCACATAGCTGTTGTCTATGCGCTCTACATGAACTAGATCAGTAATCATCTGTACCTGACTAGCAGTAATTTTAAATAAAGAAGACACATTGTCTAACCCAGCGACCTCCATCGTCAAGTTAACGGTGGACTCAAATAGATTACATGGTGATGAGTTGGTCATAGAGAGGGTCGGTAAACGATTACTGCTACTTCTGGAACACCTGAGTAGGCTCCGATCCTGCCCTAGCTCATATATGTCTTCAATTGAACGGATGTAAGAAAGTGAAGTCGCTACATCCTCAAATCGGTGATAACATTGAATCCCCATTCAGGAAAGAAATAGCTACACGTGTGCGTGAAATTGACAGTAATACCCAACAAAGGGAAACCTGGTATAATATCCTGTCAGTTGTAGAAACAGTGTTAAAGACTGTTGGTAACCTAAAACCAAAGATTAGTTAATGTCAGTGGATTTCTGTTGTTCTATTCAATCTTATAGATGTAAGAAGACTGATTCTAGTGGGCTCCGAAAATGACGAGAAGTTAAAGTTTTTCAAATGTAAGCTAACTAAACGTGTTTGCAACGACTACAAAAAGTAATGAAAACAAAAGTGATGGAGAAGGCACTAGTGGCAGATAGTGCTACACAACTATGTACGGAAACTAGACCTATGGTAAGTGAAAAGACTACCGAGAAGGATAGAACTTTGACAACTTCTTAGGATGGATGGTCGATTGGAAGATTAGGGCGAATACTTTGAATTCAACTGACCTGCAGCCATGCTACAGTATCCCGGCATTCAAAATGTATCAGAATGGGGGTGTAAACAATAGCCTTCCAACTGTAGCTGAGAATGTAAGAACTGTCTTAAAGACGGTGAAGTCACAGGACCTTATGTCATTACTTCAAAGGTGTCATCATCCATTACGTGGATGAGAAACATAACAGTTGATGGTAGAAGGACCTTGGAGACCATATGTTTAGACAACGCGGTATCACCAGTACTGAAGGCAGTCAGACAAACTATCACGCGACTAATGTAGGACGTAGAGTATTTGGGTAAAAAAAGTAAATTGACTGGGGGAAACTACAAATCTCAGAAGCTTGAGATGGCACTGACATATTTTATGCTTCCCTACTCACAGCTTAACACGTCTTCTCCACATTAACTTGAATGACTTTCCATTTGTGTATGGATGGGGCTACACAACTTTCGGCTAAATTGTTTTTATCTTCCTCCTTGTTATTATCTTAAAGTTTATCTGCAGATGAAGTGTGGCAACTGGGCACACTATACACATCGCTAGGTAGGATAGTGATAAAATGCGACACTAACTGCAGAGTATTACGCATTAAGTTTATGAGCTAAAAGAACGGTATTTGAGGGACCAATTGAGAATACACTGCTCTGGTATCATAGCAATAACTGAAGGAGAAAAGAAAGAAAAGCGACAGCCTAACAATGCCAAACTGTCAAAAAAGTTACCTCAGTAAGTTAGTGGCATGAAATGTGCACAAGAACGTCTACACTGGTTCGAATATTCTTTAGGGAATGAAAAAGGGTGGAAATGGTTTCCAGATTACTTGTCTTAGTGCAATTTATAATAACGGGGTGATATTAATCAAGACTGGTAGCGCCCCTAAAACTAACAATTTTCTAGATTACACATGTCTTTAATGTACATTTCTATGGTATAAAGTGAAACCTCCGAACCATATTATTCTGAGGAAAATAAGGATATATATATCACGGCAATAGCCATGACCAATATTTCATGTGGAAAAATTAAGGTCAAGAAACCTTCTCCCCAACTACCCCCTGAAGCCATGTATGTAATCATGACGAAAACAGATAGAAGCTAAAGGGGAAATGAAGTCCAAATATTATTCCTTAAACTGTTCAGGACTTTCTCGCTTTATTAAAAAATGTGGATGCAAACTTTTATGGGCCATGAAAAAACTATCTTCAATTGGAGTAAGTCATGCTAGAACTTACCAGTGAACCAAAACTGTACCCCCAGAAACTCTGGCCTCATGAATGAAAAAGCACGCATCTCTAAAGAATTTAGATATGTCCTGCTTAGCATCATCATCTGCGCGAAATAATTTGTGTTTCCTGGAGGGGCACTAGATAAATTCAGGATATATAACATAGTATGCTCCAAGTAGGTACCTTGAAATCGTAATGGAGAACACTGCATACGTGTGTAATACCGTATTCCTCAAGTTGAGACTTGGCTTGTGCACTGGCGACCCCACCAATATATATACCTGACACAATCCTCGACATTGACCCACCCATCTTTTTTCAATGGTAGGGAAATGATGGAACTGAGTTATTGCGTGGCCTCTACAAGGTCATTCAGACCAGATTTAGTATGAATAATGAACGGCATGTTCGTTGGGTTGAGTATGCAACACTGAATGAACTTCAGATTGTGCGAATATAATTTTATATTATATCTTCATATATTATGTATCATATTTGTACATTACATTTTAAGTTCATATACCAAAAAGGATGCTTTTAATTAGCTAATATATTATGCAACATCTTCCTAGGAACCATGCGCAAACCAAATGTCTTCGATGGTGTTGGCATATCCGTATTTTGGAACATCTATAGATAATGGCATAATTCCATAGAGATATATCTATCTCTTCAGTTCATGTAGCTATTATGAACTCGATGAAAATATATGACAGTCCAATTTGACGGGAATATATGTTTTATCCCAAAGTAGTAGTATTATTGCTAAAGCTTGCAATTGGATTTTCACCATACAAGTGATACATGTGGAAAAATGCTATGATAAGAGGACAGAAAGCATTATAAGAGAATAAGTAGGCAGAAGATAGAGCAAGAATTACTTTAAATAAACACATAAGATGGAGAGGAAAGAGCAAAAGTAGAACTACATAAATGAAATACCAGTAGGTGGACCATGCAAAACTCCAAAAAACAAACCAAAACGATGATATACCTACATCAGCAGTAAAACAACCTTGAAATAGACAGATTTACACAGGTCTTTAATTCTTACAAGTTGTGTCTGTAACTCTGTATGGGACTTGTTTAGTTGGAACTCCGTGCCACTGACCCGCGGATGAAAATTTGCTGATTTCTGTTCATGTTAAATGCCAGCTGATTTCCTGTGGCTTAATTCTGAAGATGAGGTAGTTCTCCCTAGGACCTGAAAGAGTCTCCGTAATGGAAAGCTTAAGGAAAATATGATACAACTGCTCACCAAGAATGGCTTATTGGGATACTCTGAATGAATCACCTTCTCTCCATAAAGCATTAGTGGTATTCCTTGAAAATATTCCTCCCCCAACAGCCGGCCTCGGACCTAGGATAGAAAGAGGTAGCCTATATTCTTATCAGAGACGGTTAAGAGTGTTGAGAATGTTGTGCAGCATAGGGTTAAGTGATCTCGTTAAGTCCAGGAAAAATGCAGAAGTGAAATACCCTATTCACAGCATCCTCTTGTGGAAGTTCGGAAGTCAACAAGTCGGTAGCGACCAATATTTCCTGTAGTAGCTGCGGTAGCCAGCATTATTTGCCCACAGCATCCATAGCCTAACATTGGGTATTGACCTTCATTGTCAAAGTTGACTCGTTAAGCTGAAGGCCCGTAGCAAAGCATCCGCATCATTCAGCCCACTGTCATGATATATTCTTTCATTCACTAGTGCACGATACTTAGCTAGCTAAACATTGAACATCACACTACGAATTTCATTCAGAAATATAAATCGTGCTTCTGAAGATCAACTTGTTGTATTGATATTTCTTGGCCAACATGGAACAAGCCCTGAAGGATTTAAAAGAAAAGAACTCACGCTTGTTTGTATCTTACTTGGCGTAAACATCAGCATCCTTTCACCTCCCAAGTAAGCTTTATTGTTCATGCTACTAGCGCTACTGGTCCGTTGCACTCAGGTTTCTACCGATTCCCTGCAAGCTCAAAAGTGTCCGGAAGCTACTGCCTATTCAGTAGGTGCTAAAAAATTTCAGTGGTTGTAGACACTGAGCGTCAAAGTATTGTTTTAGGATTATCTGTTTGATTTTGCCTGGTCCAGACTTGTTTCTGAACTAAGCTTTGTTGGTTTCGCTAGAAACATGCTCGGATTCATCTAGATTGGGACAATCTCCACAATGTTACACCACACAGTGGATTGCCAGAACAGATGTTCCCATCCCTACCATTAAAATATACCAGCTTTCGCTGAAATGATAAAGGTTTGATCACTACGATTTCTAATGGCACACACAGTGTGACTAATTCGAAATTTTAATGATAAGAACTGGAACATATTCTGTGTCGATTAAATCCCGCTAATTCTCCTTTGTGTCCTAAATTCAAATTATAGTCTAATAAGAGATCTCAAAATCTCGCCAGATACTAGCTTGCTAGGCTACTAGCTTACTAGTTTTCTAACCGGTCCCAAGTCCTCATAAAGAGGAAGGGTTGGGGTGTGGTACTAGCAACTCCACCCCTGTAAAACAACCAAATCGCTACAGAAACTTCAACGAATAAATATATTAAAAATTCTAAAAACATAAGCAATAGCCTTACTTTTCGCTGGAATCGGAGAAGTGAAATGACGCAGGCTGGTGAGAGCCTTCGGGAAGCCAGTCAGCCGATGTGCCTTCTTTCGATGAAAGCAAAAGTAAGGATGGGTACCTGGAATGTTCGCACAATGTACGAAACTGGAAAGGCTGCCCAGATAGCCGCTGAAATGAGAAGGTACAGAATAGAAGTGTTGGGAATCTGCGAGAGCAGATGGAACGGAACTGGAAGGTGCCAACTACCTACTGGAGAGACAGTAATCTATTCCGGCCACCTAGAGGACAACCATGAGCACACCGAGGGAGTGGCCATCATGATGTCACCAACAGCAACCAAAGCTCTCATGCAGTGGGAACCAATCTCCTCCAGGATAATGACAGCCAGGTTCAACTCAAAAGGAAGGAAAGTTACAGTCATTCAATGCTATGCGCCTACAAACGTCTCAGAACAAGAGAAGAAGGAGGCGTTCTACAGACAACTACAAACGTAATGGACAACGTCCCAAATGGCGATATCAAAATCCTGATGGGCGACATGAATGCGAAGCTGGGACGAGACAACACAGGAAGAGAACTCACCATGGGTCGTGAGGCCCTCGGTGAAATGAACGACAATGGTGAACTCTTCTCAGACTTCTGCGCCTTCAATGATTTGGTGATTGGCGGTAGTGTGTTCAAACACAAGGATATACACAAGACGACATGGATTTCACCAGATGGAAACACCAAAAACCAAAATGACCTCATCTCAATTTCAAGAAAGTGGAGACGGAGCCTACTGGACACAAGGTCGAGGAGAGGAGCAGATGTGGGTTCAGACCACTATCTAGTAGAAGGGACTTTCAAGGTGAAACTAAAAGCCTCGAGGATAGCTGGGATAGGCCACAATGCAAGTTCAACACTCAATTACTGAAGGACACAACCACAAAAGACACCTTCACTGCAACTGTCAGAGCAAAGCAGGAAACACTACGCGACATCACTGAAGAATCATGCGTGGAAGAACATTGGAAGTCTCTGAAGGCGATTCTCAACGAAACGTGTTCAACGGTTCTAGGAAGAAAGAAGAGACAAGACAAGGAATGGCTCTCAACGGACACTTGGAAATTAATAGAAGAGAAGAATGGTGAAAGAGAAAATGATTCAATGCAAGGACGGACAGGAGAAGGAGACGCTGAGCTCAACTTACACAGCACTGGACAAAGAAGTGAAAAAGAGTGCTAGGAAGGACAAAAGACGATTCTACGACAATCTAGCTACTGAAGCTGAAAAGGCAGCAGGCAAAAGGGACCTGAGGACACTATATCAGATAACCAAATCTCTATCCGGGAAGAGACCAACACAAGCGAAACCTATAAAAGACAGCCAAGGGAACCCAATTACCAAGGAAGAAAAACAGATTAAACAATGGGCGGATCACTTCAAAGGACTCTTAAACGACCACCACCTGCAACCCGTCCAGAAATACCAACAACAGCGCGCACACAACTGCAAGTTGACACCAATCCTCCAACGAGAGAGGAAGTCTTGAATGCAATCAAGCTTCTGAAAGCTGGAAAAGCAGCCGGACCAGATGGAATACCCCCTGAAGCACTGAAAGCAGACCCAGAGACGATAGCAGACATGCTGACTCCATTATTGCAAAAGGTCTGGAAGGAGGGAAAGGTGCCTACTGACTGGAGGAAAGGTTACCTCGTGAAACTACCAAAGAAGGGCGACTTAGACTCTGCAAGAACTGGCGAGGAATCATGCTCCTGTCGACGCCAAGTAAAATCCTGAGTCGCATCATCCTGGAGAGATTAAAGGACGCACTGGAGACAGAACTCCGACCAGAACAAGCTGGATTCAGGAAAGGCAAATCATGTACTGACCAAATTGCAACTCTACGCATCATCATCACAGCAAAGCATGGAATGGCAATCAAACCTCTACCTCAACTTTATAGACTTTGAGAAGGCCTTCGACAGCGTTGACCACGAAGTAATTTGGAAACTACTCGAGTACTACGGCGTACCCCAAATATTCATCAACCTTATTCAACAGCTGTACGACAACGGCACATGTCAAGTGATCCACAACGGAAAACTCAGCGAGGCGTTTGGAGTAAACACAGGAGTCAGACAAGGGTGCTTATCATCACCAATGATATTCCTAATTGTGGTGGACTGACTGGATTATGCGTCAGACAGTGGGAAACGAGAAGACAGGATATCCTGGACCGACGTGAAGAACCTAGAAGACCTGGATTTCGCGCGTGGATGATTTATGTTTGATGTCACACAAAATCGAAGACTTACAAGCGAAAACCGACAAAACTGGTCGAAGAAGCAGCCGGCGAAGACAGGACTCCAGGTGAACATAGACAAGACGGAGGTTATGAAAATAACCAACCAACAACAAGAACAACATCCAACGTCAATCACCATCAACGGGAGGGATTTGAAAGAGGTTACTTCATTCACTTATCTAGGGAGCATTGTCTCAACTACAGGAGGAGAGGACGAGGATGTCAAATCGAGAATCGGGAAGGCGAGAAACACATTCATCAGCCTGAAATCAATCTGGAAATCTTCGTCACTCAGCATCACCAACAAAATTCGGATTTTCAATACAAACGTCAAGTCAGTCAGTTCTTCTATACGGATCAGAAACTTGGCGGGTCACAAAGAATATTTCCAAAAGGCTGCAGACCTTTATTAACAACTGTCTTCGCTCAATACTGAAGATCA